GCCTCTGAGTTTTAGTCCCGTTATACCTTTTTACTGCTTTCTACATGCTATGGTTTTGCGTACTGTTTTCCACTGTGTCATGTCTGTTTTGCCAGACACCGACGCGGATGTACACAGGCGCCCTCCTCTGATGAGTCCAATTCTGCTTGAGGAACTGTTCAAAGCCCGCCACGGATTAACCTGGTAGTATGCAGTGCAACCACAAGTATCATGGACGTTGTTCTGATCTCAGAGTAGACCAGTACGAACTATTGTCGTTCAGTGATAGTTTGTTTTTCAGCTGTGCTAACCGTTGTCTCCGGAGAATGATATGCTTACTTTATAGCATTGGTATTCAGGTTGACCATTGTTGAGATGGCGTTAGCCGTGTTAGCATCGCTTAACACCAAGGTACATTTGATTCCAAAATCACTGGGTGCTGTAGGTGGAAACCTTGCAGCAGAATTCTGCGCTTCTCTTGGTCCTCAGGCTGGCGTCAATCACTCCTCGAGGATTCACCCATCTTAGCGGACGCTCTAGTTGCCTCACAGGTAACTGACTCAGATGGCTCGGATAGCATCATGGATTGCTCAAAGTGATGTGAAGGTGCGCATACACGCAACCTACAGCAGCCTGAGCAGAGACACCACCTGTTGCTACGATTCCTTCATGGAAACTTGAGGTGCTTTCACCTTCACTTACACCGATCGAAACTGAGAGGCCGAGCGATGTAGATGGAACAGTGCGCGAAACGAACACACCCTGTCGGGACGATTTGTACAGGAATATCAGTATAATTTGCAGAAACTTCACTGAATCCACTGCTGCCCTTCTCATCGAGTACACGCTATGTGCTCTTGGTTGGTTTACAGTTGGTGTGACCGAGGTTCTCCCGCTGGTTTCTTGGTGTTAGTGTCAGAAAGCTCATCAGGCGTGAGAACGTTCCGGTTACTAATCCTAATCCTTGACCCTGCCTGTTCAGAGAGGTCCTCTCCACTCCAACTAAGTGTGGGACGTTATTGCGCTTTGCTTTCAAGCTCAAATGTAGTATCGTTAGGTTGAAGGCGGCTGTCAGAGACCTCAAATCCCGGCGTGTGGTTGGTCAGCAGTATCTCCGATTGGTGGGTTTTCAGGTAGTCGGCCGTCTGTCCCCTTCCGCTCTGCCATAACCTATTCTGATTGCGCACGGTCCATGGTTGGTTGTGTCGAAATCATCCAAATAGTACTTATCAAAGTGCGTAGCCTGAAGTACAAGATGCGCGAAGTGGTTCTGCTTGTATACAAATTTCGTCCAGATATACTTGTCTTCACTGAAACGCTGTTGTGCAAGTACATAAGCATATCTGCCTGGCTATGCACTGTTCCGCAATGATTGCTCCATTGGCCGTCAAGGATATCGTGTAGCTACCACAAACCTACTAAGGACCACGGTTTTTCATTTGTTAGACGAAGCCGTTAAGGCTCTCGCAGTTGTGATCTGCACTTTCATCGTTCAGTTTAC